ACTACTACTACTACTACTACTACTACTATTATTATTATTATTATTATTATTATTATTATTTATTATTGTAGGTGGGTAGCTGCCTCTAGGTAGATTTTCCTCTCTTAAAATTTTACTTCTGCTAATTCAGGTAATATTCTGCTCTTTTGTTAACAAATTATATTTTTCTTTACATATGACAGGTTTCAGAAAAGGACATTGCCACAATGACATTCCAAAATGTTTGTAAAACTACTAAGGATTGGTTTTGTAAGTGTCTTCCAAAACGTCTGCTGAGACAACAATCAACATCAGTTATGTTTTATTTGAAAGAGGAACTTGAGGTTTGTATTTTGGAACTGCAACTATATCTAGATTTTATCCAGAACACTACCATTTGTAATTTCCTTTTTCTTTTAACAGCACTCCTAATTTATTTTCCTTGCCTCTGGTAATCTTCATAAAGAAAACTGTTTCACGCATGAATTTTTGCCTTGTTATTTTGGTACATTGTAACATGAACCAGCATCTCTGTTGATCATCCTAGCCTATCAGGGGCACATCTCACCAATTGTAATATTTTTCTCAGTTCTTTACAAGTCTACAGTGTGATACTTCAGAAAGATTAGAGGACAGAGAAAAGAGAGACTAACATTGAAAAGTAATTATTTTATTCTAGAAATTATGAAAATTGTTTGGATACTTCCTTATTCTTCAGGTACATGAGTTGTAAAAGCAGAAGGCATAATAGGATCTCAGATTGTAGTTTCCTTCAGGTGTGAAGGTGGAGCTTAACCTGATTTATTACACTACCCAGTTTAGGTTTCCAATTCTTTCTCCCTTTTATTATAGTTAATTGGTGCTTCATACCTTAAAAGCATATATTCTTTCCTAATAGGTGATGAAGTATTCCAGCATTAAAGTTAAAGAAATATTTCCATTTGAGTTGAATAGATACTCTGGTTCCTACTTCTTCTTCCTTAAACAGTTTTTCATTTGTCGTTTTAAAATGTAAAATAATGCTTTCTTTGTAGGTATGGGATCACTTTTTGAAAATAAAGTTTCCTAATAGCAGTAATTCTGAAGACTGGAAAGAAGCTTTAATTACAGTTTTGGAAGGCAGAATTAAACAGGTACCTAGATAGATAGACATCATATGAATGAGATACTAGTCTGCTTGTGGCAATTGATTGAGATCTGTATGAGCATAACCTACTTGAAATGAATGGAGAGCTTTTATGTAACACTTTTGTGACTCTTGCATCCTGTTGTAATGGTATTAAACCAAGATTAGTATGATCAGTATCATATCTGAGCAATTACAGCTTGGAGTTTCAGAGGGCTTTCAGACATTCTGAATATGATTTTGGACAAAGAATGAATCACTTGGATAACATAATCTTATTAAATCGTTTGTTTTGAGCTTATGTGTGGTTGTGCAAATTATAATTTATTGCTTAATGTATAGTGTGAATCAACTCTGTTCAACAGTTAATGGTTAAAATATGGCTTGGCACAGTATATAAACCAAGCCAATATTTGGCTTTGCTTCTACAACAATCTTTCCTAACCTGATGTCCTCCAAATGTGTGGGAACCACAATTCTCAAAATTCCTGGGCTCTTGGTATTTAACATCAGGTTGGTTCATAAGAAGATCTTTCTTGTCTGTTTTTGGAAGAGAATGCAGAACTGGTATGCATTATTGAGAACTGATGAGAGTGCTGCTGTGTCCCTCTCCGAGATTTGCACTTCTAGATTTCAGGTCCTTCCCCAGCAGGGATGGGGAGGGTGGAGGATATTAAACTTTGGAGAGATTCTGCCTGTGGCCAGGGACTCTGTCCCAGAGATAGTGGGGTGTAAATGTCTATATGTTAAGGTGGCTGTAGGGACAACTTGGGTATCCTTCTGGTGCATCAGCCACTATGCTGCATGGCAGATGCCCTCTGTGAGCCTTTGATTTGGCTTCAAGGCTGGTATTTGTGACCTCTCATTTTTTGGTGTTAGGTGACTTCAGTCTCCATACTCTCAGGGCTGGTTCATGTAGGGCTTGGGAGTTCATGATCTCCATGGCAATCATGGGATTGTCCCAAGTAATTTTCTCTGGCGCAACGCATGTAGGTGGGAAGTTTGGACCTCACTTTCATCTCCGAGCAGATAGTTGGTGATTTGCATATGCAGAACATCTCCATCAGCCCTTTGCCATGATCAGATCACTTTCTAGTCCAGATTAGTTTAATTGCCATCCTGACTTATGGTAGTGTGATCAGACTCCAGGCACATTAAGAATGTGTTGGACTACTGTAGTGCATTCTATATGGGGCTACTTTTGAAGACCACACAGAAGTTTCAGTCCAGAAGGAAGCAGCTGACACAAACAAGTCACACCTGTGTTCTGGGCCTCATACAGGCTTCCTGTTAACTTCCATGTGGAATTCAGAGTGCTGGTTTTGACTGCACATGGCTTGATACTGAGGTATTTCCAGGACCATCTCCACTCAGTTTTAAGCTGTCCAGTATGGAGCTCCTGGAAGAAACTACTGGTAGTCTCCCTTTTCAATGAGCTTAGGGAATGGGGGTCTACAAATGTTTCTTTGTGGCAGAATCAATGTTATAGAACTCCCTGCCCCCTGAAATCCAATCAGTTCATATCTTGCTAGGCTTTGAGAAATTATTAAAAACAGAATTGTTAAGAGGACTTTAGATTTCTAGATGTCACTGTCTTTTTTATTTCTTGTTAAAGAATATTTTTGTCTTGTGGTTTAACGTTTGGGAACTGCTTATTTATTATGTGATTTTAATTGCGCCATGGACATTTTATTGTTGTGATTGTAACCCTCTGAGAGTCTCTCAACTGTGCCAGTCCCCCCCCCAAAAAAGGAATACATTAAGAGATTCAATAAATGCCCAGTCATTGTAGAAAGGCTATTGCAAAAGAGAATAGTATACGGTAGATTTTAAAGAATAGATCTGAAGATTCTCCTAACATCTTACAGTGCTGCTTGAAATTAGAGATACATTTGAGGTAACCTGTGTCATGTCCCATTTCCATCCTGAACAAGCAGAGCATCATTTTATATATTTTGAAAAATAATTCATTATAATCAGATCTTACCGCCATAATCACTAAATTCTTGTCTTCCCATGTTTCCACTTGAGAGAATATAAATATTTTAAAACCCCAAATTCTGCTTTGTTTTTCTTTTGGTGTTTCCTAATAGGAAGATGCTGTTGAACAAATTAAAGCCTTCTGTAGTTGTTATGAGGAAATTAAAAAATTCACTTCTGTGATTTTGAAAACATTTGAAAACTGTGCCATTGAAGCTATTGATTCAGCATACCAGGTAATTTATCTAAAATCAAAGATTGTCTAATATTTTATTGGGAGTAAATAGGATTGTTGCTATGCTTCAAATAGTCGCAGATTTAGGCTTCCTGGCATATGTGGCTTCTCCTTCCAAGCTGGCTGACAGGTGCACTGCCTAAACATCTTAGTAGGCAGGACACAGACAATGGTATGTTGCTTTGCAAGGGAGTCTCTAGATTGTAGCTGGATGTTGGTTATACTTGTGCATACAACCCAAAATATACCAAACCCTGACCTGTAATGTGTCCTTGCCATAACTATGTAATTTAAAATTTTTAGCATGGATTTTTAAAAATTTTTTTATGTTCCGTTACTGTAACCCACTATAGAAGGAAAACCTTAGTGTCCCTAGTTTCATGTTTTTCAATTCATTAAGTCAGTTTTTTAGTATATATTACCTCTGTTTGTAGGAGGTCTGAATTAGCTCCTTCTGCTGATTGAGCTTTTTATATTTTTCAAAACAGGGATGTCCTTTGTCATGATCCTTCCTTTGTTCCAGTAGTTGATTCTCACACTCATTATGAATAGGAACTAATGTTTGTTCTCAGCCCATTCCTAACATCTCATCAAGGTCATTCTGTCTCTTTCAGAATTGAAGGTTGATTAATTTGGAGTAACCCTAACAATGTACTGCCTAGGTTACACAATACTAAGGATTGTTGTTCAGTCTGTAGTTATAGTACAGTATAGAAAAGTGAGAGGAAGGACCTTCGAGTCCTGCCCGCACACCATGTTTCCGTTTATAAGAACCTGCATCCCCACAGAGTGGTGACTGTCTCTGTTGTAAGAGGAGTATCTATCTCAGCAAGTAGAAGAAAAATTCACATGGAAGGAAAAATACATTTTCAGTGGGGAAGTCCCATTACATGATGAACTGAATTTTGTGACAATCTTGACATTGTGTGATAGAATGAATTAATTACTGTCTAATACTGCATTTTTTATGTGTGTCTTTTCTAGAAACAAAAGAATCTACTTGAGTTGATATCTTCATATGATCTGAACAAGCTGGGTAAAGTTATATCTGCTGCCATCATAAAATCTTGGCCAAGGGATGAAATGGGGAAGCCTTTGACAGACTTTCAAAGTATACTAAAGCATCTGCTTGAATGGCAAGACAGCAGACATATATTCATTTTCAATCGTATGTATATCATTTAAATGATCATTGTTGTAGTCAGGGGAAGTATGTAAAGGAGCAAAGTAGCTATATAACATAGAAAATATAATGAATAATGGAGGAGTTATATTGGATATTTCAGACATTTGGATATTTCAGACATGTATATTGTATGAAATTATGATGAATTAATAATCTGCTTCATGAATGTTCATTGATATTTTGAAAGAATATATAGGGTTTTTTTTTAATTTTCCCCTTTGGTAAAAATAATATGGTCACATCAGTGAAGCAGGGCTGTGAAAAATGAGATGTAGCAGAGTATGCATGTGGGTGGGACAGGAAAGTGAGAATAAGTCATCTTGCATGGGGTTGTTTCCAGGTGACACAGGGAAAGGAGCTAACCTGAGCAATTTAATGCCCCCAAATCTTATAAGTACTTACTGTTTTTAATATATTTAACAGGTGCAGAAGAAAACATTCTGAACCAATTTACTGAAGATGCTCGATTATTAATGGCCACTGCGGAATCTTTGTTTGAAAATGTTGTCAATGCACTTGTAACAGGCAATATTCTGATTAAGCATTTGGAGCTAATTTTAAAGCATAAGACACAATTCATAAGTAAGTCTCTTTTGCATATATAAATGGAGAGAGGGATAAATTGTATGAATGCAGTTTAATCACATGGTTAAATGGGCTTTATGAAATGAAATCACCATGACAATAAAGAAATACATTTCTGTATTTATCTGGTGTCATCTTAGAAGAACAGTCATCTGTGAATGAGAAGGAATAGAATATCTCTTTAAGATGGTGCATGCCAACTGCTGGCTTCAGCATATTGCCTTAAATATGTTTTGTTTAAAAATCAAAGGAATTTAAGTTGAATAATAGTAGGGTGAGGATACAGCCTTGCTTAACACTTTTATTAGTGAAGATGGGTTCGGTTAGATCAGCAAGGATATTACCTTTAACTCGAGTGGCTCTGCCACGGTGTACTAGCGTTATGAGCCTAAAAAGACAGCAGCCTATCATTGTGGTGGCTAATTTTCTCCAGAGTCATCCATGGGTCATTCGTGGAATAGAATCAAAGGCTGCCTCAGGTCTATGAAGGCTACCTACAGGGGACCTTTGGGCTGACTGTAATATTCTCAGCTGTGTGATGGAGTATGGTACATTGGTCCATGGTTGAGTGTTCAGACCTGAAAGCGGCTTGCTCAGGAGCCAACACGTTTTTGGAGGATGTTCAGTCCAAAAGCTTATAATATAGGAATCTAGTACAGTGGTACCTCTACTTACGAACTTAATCCGTTCCGTGACTCTGATCGCAAGTCGAGTTGGTCGCACCCCGAAGCAAATTTCCCCATAAGGTTCAATGTAATTACCGTTAATCCGTTCTGGCGTCCGCGGACCACGCGTCAGGGGTGGCAAAGCGCCCGCACGCTGCACGGCGGGGCGGCAAAACGCCTGCGCGCTGCGTGTCGGGTAGAAAAGCGCCTGCGCGCCGTGCATCAGGGCAGCAAAACACCCGCACGCCGCGCATCGGGTGGAAAAGCGCCCGCACGCCGCACAGCGGGGCGGCAAAACGCCCGCGCACCGCGCATCGGGCAGAAAAATGCCCACAAACCACGTGTCAGGGGCAGAAAAATGGCCGCAGACCACATGTCAGGAT